GTATAATCTTGATAAACTTCACTGTACTAGAGGTCACATAGTAATGAGCCAAGCCTGGGCTGCCTCAAGGATGCCCCAGGACAGTAATGTAAACTCCTCTGTTTTACAAATAGTGTCACAATCATGGCCCCCAACACAATGTGGAAGCAGTCCCACAGCGCCAAAACTATGTTGTTTTGATCTGCCACCAACCATGTTTATGTGACAGACTTCTTTAATCTCCTCTGTCCTTTTTAATGCTATGAATCCCAGTAAAACCTTGGACACCACGATGATCATGTGCTAATGGTCTCTTTCATCCAGATGATATGACTCTATAGTTATTGTGTCCTTTTCCAGTTTAAGATATAATGTCCTCTTTATAATTTTTTTAAACCTAATAAAGTGTTAGACAAGTTAAAAAGGCCACTGAATAGACAGGCAACATACTGGTAACAAATGAAGTAAAAATAAACAAATTTTAAAGATAATTTTTTAATTAAAAAAAAAAAGATAATTAATGCCACCTATAAGATAAAAACATAATTTTTATGATCTCCAAAACCTCACTGAAAATGCCATAACATTGCTTAAAGTCATTAAAAACCAGAAAGTAAAAAAATCAATATTCTATATAGATTTAAAAACTCAGTATTATGCCAACTCAGTAAATGCTAACATGTAAATTCTTGAATGTGAAGATTCAGTGTGGTCCCAATAAAACCCCAATAGCCTTCATTAAAAAATAATTCTAAATTTAGCTGGTTCAAAACTCAAAAGAAAACTACCTGCCACTGAATCAATTCTGACTCATAGCCTCCCGAGGTAGGGTTTCTGCATCTTTTTAAATCTTTATAGAAACTGAAAATGTCATCTTTCTGGGCAGAGTGGCTGGTAGTTGAATCTAAAGTATATATGGAAATGCAAATAACCTAGAGTTGTATGACAATGTGAAAGGAAAAGAACACTATTGTATGACTTAAACTATGAAATATCAAGACATATTATAAAACTACAGTAAAACGCAGGCTAGTTGTGACACAGGTGTAAACAATTAGACCTCTGAACGTAATAGAGATCTGAAAAGAATACACACATACGCTCACTTGATTTACAAAAAGGCATAATGTAGTTTGGTAGGGAAAGAATAGTTCACAAATACTATGGATCAGCTTTATAGCAATAGAAAAAAATTAATATGGACCTCTACTTCACAAATGCCTCAAAATTAATTTCCTCTGAACCATAAAAATATAAGAGTAAGTCAAAAAATATTCCTACAAAATGATAGAAATCTTTTTTTTTTTTTTAAAGTCAGTTTCTTATCATACCCCCTAATTTGGTCTTAGACATTTTGGAAGGTAGTGTTGCCAACTCTCTACCCTTCCCCCCAAATTCTGTGTGCTTCAATTTAGACCATATCAAAAGTACAGTTTCAGCATCCTCAAGACACTCAATTCTTTCTAAATATTCTTTGAATTTCAGAAACAAAACAGTGTCTAGAAGGGCAAGATCAGGGCTGTCGGTTGGGTGAAATTCTTATAAACAGTTTGTGCTATACATGAAGAATGAGCCAACACATCATCATGATAGGGGGGAAAAATCATTGGTGCAATTTTTCCAGACTTTTGCTCAACAATGCAGTTTTTTCTTTTCTGAAACTTCTTCTTAATAAGGCCCAGAGTGCAAAATATATACAAGGCAAAGCAGTTTCTAAACACATAATGGTATCCAAATACATATAAAATACCAAGAAGAAAAAGAAAATCCTTCTTTTGCTTAGATGGGCAAAAGTCTGAGATATTTCACAAAAGAAGCAAAGAGCCATTGAGTATACACTCAAAATCATTAAACCGAAGTCAAGCTCACTGCCATGAAATGGATTCCTACTCCAAAGACCCTTTTGAGTTTTGAGGCTATAAATCTTTACAGTAGCAAACAGTCTTTTCTCTCTCCTGCTGAACAGCTAGTTGGGCTGAACCACTGACCCGACGGTTATTAGTCCAATTTAGTGCAACACCAACCGACTTAGTCTCCACGGGTCCTTTCATAAGTCAGTTAGTAAACACAAAATTAAGATCACAATGCAACCTCACTTTACACTCACAAAAAAGCTAAAATTAAAACAATATATATCACCAAATGATGGCAACAATGTTAAGTAACTGGAAATCTCATACAGTTGGCAAAACTGTAAATTGAAACAACCACTTTGGAAAACTATTTGGAAGGGTCTATTAAAACTATGTGGCAGGAAATGCTAGGCTTAGTTGTTAGGCTGCCAACTGCAAGATTGACAGTTTGAAACCACTAGTTGCTCTGAGGGAGAAAAATGAGGCTTTACTCCCATAAACTGTCTAGGAAACCCATAGAGGCAGTTCTACCCTGTCCTATTGGGTCTCTCTGAGTCAGCACTGACTTGACAGTGAATTTTTTGAGTGAGTACTAAAGCTAAAAGGCACCTGGGAGCACTGTGGGTTAGATGGTGGGCTGCCAATTACAAAGTTGGTGGTTCGTTCAAACCCACTACCCACTCTGAGGATGAACGATGAGGCCAAAAGATGAGCCTGTCTGTTCCCATAAAGACTTATCATCTCAGAAACCCAATAAAGGATTGTTATGAGTGGAATTTAACTCGATGGCAGTGGGTTTTTCTTTGGGATATTAAAGCTAAG